ATATATAGAGACCATTTTAGCTTACGTAACTGAATCAAGCTAATAGTATCACTTCCACAGACAGACACCTAAGACAGACCAAATCAAAACACATATTGATATACTCATATGAAGTACACTTCATCACTACCAGCAGCAGCCGCGAATAAAGTGTAAAACAATAAACATGATGTGTAGTTCTTCTATTTACACCATAACGTCACGGGTGCGTCACTGTAACAGTCGACGTGTAGCTTGGTGACGCTCTGTAACACTGTATCGTCACCACCACCTCCTCTCTCCTGCGATACACTCCTGGTTTTTGGTTTCCATAGGTAAAGGTAGAACAAAAAAATTCCTTCTCTTCTGATTTGACGGATGGATGTTGCTCTTATTTCACAAAGCCAAGGGCGAGTGTTAAGTCAGTTTTTTATTTTTTATTCCTAGGATGAACAACAATAAATTCCTTCAACAGTATTTTTTCATCCTGAGATAAACAAGAGCAATATCACTTCAGATGCATTTTACTTTTTCCCAGGACGAACAAGAACTAACTATCGTGTTTGTTTATTCTTCTTTAGGATGAACAAGAACTTAATCCCTCCGGCAGTATTTTATATCCTAGGATAAACAAGAACTAGCTTACTGCCACGGTCATTTTTTTGCTCTGGAATGAACGAGAACAGATCCCGCCAGCAGAATTTTTCCCCCAGGACGAGCAAAAACCAGGTCACTGGTGTTATGTCACTAACACGCAGTCAGACGAAGCTTAAATTCACCGCCCTGTTAACCTAACCTAACATAACCTATATTAACCTAACTTAACCTTAACTAACATAACATAACCTAATCTGACCTATATCTATAACCTAACCTAACCTAACCTAACCTAACCTAACCTAACCTAACCTAACCAAACTTAACCTAACCACACAAACACTAACTAATCTTTGTCAGATTTGGAATTTCATTGTACATTTTTAATTAACACCTGACCACATGACAATAATAATAATAATAATAATAATAATAATAATAATAATAATAATAATAATAATAATAATAATAATAATAATAATAAAGAACCATAAAGAAGTACAAAAATGAAAAAGATCAATAGTGAGAAACGCTATATGTATGTTGTGTTGTCATGTAAGATAAACAATTGAGACCCTGCAATTGTGTGCAAATGAGGCAGAAAGACAGATCAGCAATCTGGGACTGGTCACAATTTTCGTGATGCCATATGGCAGCAGGGTCTACCATTAGACAACACATTATGCTGCCAATATCTTCCCAGGCGGTAGTACCTCCCTGTTTGGTAGATGTCTACTACCTACTGCCGTAAAACTAGTGAGGAAAGTTTGGTTATCGTCCGCCCGAGAGAAATGTCGAGTTATTGTGCGGACGAACACACGGACGAACACACGGACGAACACACGGACAGACACACGAACAGAAAGACAGACACACGACACCATAACAAACAGTATCATATAAAACACTTTCACTTACCTGGATGGCAAGAGCCGCCGTGACGTCGCCCTCACCTGTGATAAAGATAATGACTTATTACATGACGAGTTTCAGGGAACATGTTGATATTAAAACAATGTGGCGTTAGTACAGAGGTTCTGTGTTTGTGTGGGCGTATATATATGTATATGGGATAAATTCTCAATCACACACACACACACACACACACACACACACACACACACACACTTTAATCAACAGTGCGCAGATTAAACATTTAATTATTACAGTTATAATTAAATGACGTCGGAAGGTGAAGAATACAGATGTACTGTCATGGTTGTAATGTCATGGGTGTACTGTCATGGATGAACTGTCATGGTTGTACTGTCATGAGTGTACTGTCATGGATGAACTGTCATGGGTGAACTATCATGAGTGTACTGTCATGGTTGTATTGTCATGGGTGAACTGTCATGAGTGTACTGTCATGGTTGTATTGTCATGGGTGAACTGTCATGAGTGTACTGTCATGGTTGTATTGTCATGGTTGTACTGCTATGGTTATACTGTTTTGGGTGTACTGTCATGAATGCCCTGTCATACTGTCTTACTATGTCATTGTCATATTCTGTTATACCACGTCATACTTTCATACCCTGTCATACCGTCATACTCTGCCATATCTTAGACCCTGTCATATTCCATCATACCCTGCCATACTGTGTCACACCCTGTCATACCACTATACCCTCTCATTGTCACACCCTGTCATACCCTTTACTATCAAACTGTCACACCTTGTCCTATCACACTGTCACACCTGTCATACTACCATTTCCTATACTATCAAACTGTCGCACCTTATCCTATCACACTGCCACACCCTGTCACGATGCCGCACCCTGTCACGATGCCACACTCTGACACACCCATGACCCACACACGCACAAACTATAATCACACAGAAACTTAACTAATCTTTAGTAAATAATAAAATCTAAGAACCACAAATACAAAAATAAAGAAAAGAGAATAAATATAATAAGATAGATAAGATAACGATAATAAAAGACGGTAAGATAATAATAATGTCAATAAGGTCTTAATTTTATTGCCTCTCCAACAAATCTAACTAGCCGTCTAAAATAATTAACTGTACAAGATAATTAACTGTATATCTTAATGAAATAAGTGACATAGGTCTAATTAACTATCTATCATCATTAACCATCTATCTTAATTAACTATCTAATATAATTAAATAACTATTTCAATAAACTATCTATCTTAATTAACTTTTATCTATCTAATTTTGCTTGTCACTATTTTTCATTTAGAAATAATAATAAACGTTAATAATAATAATAATAATAATAATGACAATAATAATAATAATAATAATAATAATAATAATAATAATAATAATAATAATAATAATAATAATGACAATAATAATAATAATAATAATAATAATAATAATAATAATAATAATAATAATAATAATAATAATAATAATAATAATAACAATAACAGCTAATATTAACAAACCAACAAACATACAATACTGTAATAAGACACAAATCAGCTTTTTTATAACAAACAAAACGTCAACATAAAAAACAACAATAAGTTACACACTAAAAAAAACTTATGTCTTTCTGTTGATTGACCACAAAACTCCCTGACTTGTGGAGCGTAATTTACTGGCGGTAAAATCGTGCCCTATCGTCAAATTGGCGCGCGGCAGGTAAGCTGTGATTTGGCGCCAATAACGACGGGAAGCCTGATTGGAAGACATTTTTGTTGACAGTGTCGCGTGGCGGGAAGACATCTGATTGGCGCGCGGCGGTGTTGGCGGGAGTCGCGCTGATTGGCGACCGCTGGGATGAGTGCGGCCAATCAGAGTTGGGGGGCGGAGCTTCCCACCCGGAGGCCAGCAAGATTATCCCAGATGTGATTTTATATTTTACTCTGTTACTTTACCTCCTGACGTGCTACCTGGCTAACTTTTATTTAATTATTGGTAAATTATTAACTCTTGATAGATAAAAGATGGCCTCTATAACCTAAGATCTTTATTTCTGTGACGGATAGAGGCAGTAATTCCTTCAAATAACGTAACTATTCATTGCTGGAGAATGTCTGTGGGAGGGAGAGAGATACAGAGAGAGAAAGAGAGTTAGAGAGAGAAAGAGATTTGAATATTTTTTCGTGGCGTCTTATCGTCAATCCCAGGTTAAGCTGTGACTGGACATTTAAAAAAGAGGATAATAATTGTGATTTTTATCCAGCGACTCTCAACCACCACACGACGACACTGCAGTTAATCCATCATTCTTCAACACACGAGAACGAGACTCTAGTAGTGTGTTGGGGGGGAGGGTGGAGGGGGAGGGGGGAGAGGGGAGGGGGTGTTTGAATTCATGCCAACGGGTCAGAAATTCAAAATATGACAGGCCGTTATGCTGCCGTTTAATACCAGGCGCTTATGTGTGTGTGTGTGTGTGTGTGAGTATACTTTTGTGAGTGTGTGCACTGGCGTCTTTGTTCGTATATGTATGTTGATGTCTGTGTGTGTATGTTAATGTCTGTGTGTATGTACGTTCATGTCTGTAGGTTAATGTTTATGTGAAAGAGAATATTGAGCTTTGTTCTTCAATGTGTGTGTGTTGCAAAGTACCATTGCTGCACATGTTCTGTGTTTGGAGCACCTGCGTGTCTGTACACCTACACGTGCGTCTGTACACCTACACGCGTGACGCGTGTTATTCTAGTGATGTTTGAACCAGCGTGTATACAGCTGACCATACCAGTGTGTGAGTGTGTGTGTGTGTGTGTGTGTGTGTGTGTGTGTGTGTGTGTGTGTGTGTGTGAGTGTGTGTGTGTGTGTGTGTGTGTGTGTGTGTGTGTGTGTGTGTGACCTATATATGAACAGTTCTCTAAACAAACGTGCCATATATGTATCAGTAGTTATTCACTGTTACCGTGAGTGTTGTGTCACGACCCTCAGGTGTGTTGTGGCTACTGACAACACGGAGAGGTGAAGTGAGGGAGGGAGTGTGTAAGTGATATGACCTGATAAGACTGTGTTGCCCCCTCCTCTCTCCCCACCTTTTCCCCCTAAGGCAGATGTTGACGAGTGGCACAACGGAGGCAGGCACACCCCCTCCCCCCACCGTCATGAATACCTCCACCGGGGCTTTGTTCTGGCTCCCCCCTCCCCACACCCCCCAGGGATATCGACGGGAATTTACCAAGGGACTAATAAGGTCGGGTCTGAAGGACTGTGGACACGGAGCTAAATGTATGATCTTCCGTCATCGATTTGGGTGTCGTGGAGGGCCGTCGCACGTGCCCCCTCCCTCCCTCCTGCTCCCCTCAGCACACCTGCCAGGAGGCGGGACCGTCGGCACGCGCGCCCAATCAGAGGCTGGTACGCGAACGTGCGGCCAACCAGCGTCGGCCCGCCCGGCTGTGTCCCTGGCCAGGTGCCACCGTCGGGACGCCGCAACTCCACGCCACACTCAGTTGGTTATCGGGCGGGGAGTAGAGCGGACGCACTCTCCCGCGCTCCTCTCTTTCACCCCTTCCCGCTCTCACACACAAACGTCAGTCAAGATGTGAGGCGCTGGGCCAGGCGCCTTCAAACTGCCACCACGCTGCGTCAACTCGCTGTTTTCATCTGTGATCTCAACTGTGATAATGCCGAAAGGTTTCCTGGTGAAAAGAAGAGAAGACATGAGTGCTTTGGACTTGGTGCCGTACAGGCCGTGGCGCGACGCCCACCTGCCAGCAGAACAAGAAGAACCGGTGGACTTCAGCCTCCGTAGAAGACGTGACAGGGAGGCCAAGCCCCAGGAGGACCTACACCAGGTACGTGGTGACGAGTACGTCGAGGTTGTGAAGGAGGCGGTGGCGCACGTACGAGGGGTCGCCGAGAAGGGAAGTCGCCTGTTGGTGAGAACCCCGGACTCGGGTTTCAGCAGCCCCTCCGATGGCGACTTCTACAGGAGGTCAGTGTGTCACACACCCTCAGCGCGACTCCCGCCCAAGCTGCAGGCTGAGGCGGTGATCCCGTGCGAGGTGGTGGAGCAGACGACCCCTCTAGCACTCATCAAAAGAAAATCATACGAAGATGACTTGGCCACGTCCTTACACGTGACCACCGTGCACCACCCTCCTGACCCCAACCACTTTCAACCCTTCCAGTTGACTATCCCGAGACTGGACGACCCGCGGTACATGATCCCGCCGCAGACCAGCCCCTACCACCTGTTGTCTCCCACGCTCTACTGGCCGCATGGCTCCTCACCGCTCAGGTCTCCCATCCCCTTCACCTCACCCCTCGGTCGCTCACCCTACGACCTCAGTCACACTGCGGTGCCCCTTCAGAGCCCCCAAGAGGGTCTCAATCTCACTACGCGTCCTCCAGGCTCCCCACGCCTCACCACACCCATCAAGGTCCCACCTAAGTCACCAGGAACCAGCAGCGTCGCCACGCCACAGAAGCGAAAGTCCCCCACCACCTCTGGCACTTCCGAGAAGAAGTTGAAAACTTCCAAGAAAACCAAAGCAGCGCGTCGTCTGAACTTTGACGAGGACAAGACGTCGCCCGTCTCTGGAACCATCATTAGGGAGTTGGCAGAAGGTGAGGAACCTCTCGTTGTCAGGAAAGGCGACATTGACCCAGCCTACAACGTTGTTGAGATCACAGAAGAAGCCAAGGCTGAGCTCGCCAAAATCGACAACAAGATCGGCGATTACGTGTGTCGACTCTGTAAGGAGATGTACGATGACGCCTTCGGTCTGGCCCAACACCGGTGCTCCCGGATCATCCACGTGGAGTACCGGTGTCCGGAGTGCGACAAAGTGTTTAACTGTCCCGCCAACCTTGCCTCTCACAGGAGGTGGCACAAACCTAAGACCTCCATGACTACGTCTACCTCCGTGCCCAGTACCAGCGCCGCCCCCACCAAGTGTGAGACGGACGCCAACCCGGGTAAGAGCTACACAGAGAACAACAACAACAGCAGCACCAACAACAACAACCTGCTGAAGGGTCCCCCCGCCCTGGTGCCACTGCCGCAGTTCATGGCTATGGTCAACGAGGAGGACAACTCTGAGGAACAGTTCGAGTGTGAGCTGTGCTTCAAGAAGTTCAAGCGACAGTCTTACCTGAGGAAGCACCTGGCAACGCACCGCGGAGAACCGAGCAACGCTGATGGTGCCGGACCTTCTCACGCCCGTCAGCCTCCCGCCCTTACGCCCCTGATGTCACCACATTTCCCCAGCGAGGTCCTGCCCTGTCACCTGTGTGCGGCCGCTTTCTACACCCCTGCGGCGCTCGAGCTCCACCTGGAGACGACGCACATGCCCAAGCTGGATCCCCCCACCACCAGCACGCCGCTACACGTGCCCCGACCTCAGTTCTCACCTCGGGGGCACGTCCCATCGCAACCTCCGCCTCCCCCACCACCTCACCTCCTTCATCGCCCACATCAGATCTCCGCGCCCACGTAACTCAGCGGCGATCCTTTCTTCCTTCCCACCCACGTCTCCCCTCGGTGCTACAGAAGTCCAGCGGACGTCAACAAGACGTCGTGGGGCGTCTGGAGACGTCTAACAACAGCCAGCAAAAGTCATCTATCTGCTCTTCCCGGCCTCAGCGCGGCGTCATGGCAGGTCCTCCATCACCTCCCTCTGCTACTACAGCGGTAGGACGACCTTCCTCCTCCTCCAGCATATCAGGTATCAGTTCCCAGGCTACTTTATACTCTTAAGTCTCGGCTCCCATACTCGAGCTGACCATGGTACTACTTCCTTAGTCGAGTCATTGGTCATTGTCTTGATCACATTCCAGTGTTTGTGTGTTTTGATGTGTCCACAACCTTTCTTGAGACAACTGGGAGAAATAAAAGGAAACGCACTTAGAGTTAAGAGCTATATTTAAGTTTATATATTATTTTCCTTGTCCTACGCATCAATTTCAGGGCGTATGGGCGTAAATGCGTAGTAAACATGTACTATAATCGCCCCGGCCCCCACCCTGTGAATGGTCAATAGTTTGTAATTTGAATGGTTGGCTATTTGGTAGTTGCAGTAAGGCAATTATGTGTACAGTACATCTTACTCACACATGTACAAAAGAAAATGCTAGTCAGATATGTGTTCTGACTCGACGATGGGGGAAGTTCCAGATAAGTTCTGATCTCACTGACTGTCACAGCACAATGAGCTCACTCCTCTCGTCGGGACAAAACCTGATCTCAATATATATGATGAATTCTGGTCCCAATTATCTCTGTCTCTTGTCTCTCAAATTTAATATAACACTTTGTTTTCGTCTCTCACTCACTCACCAATCTCTAGTCATCTCCCAGTTGTCTCTCAAGATGATTTATATAAGTTAGTATATAATTATAATAACATTCCAATCAATTCCCATTCAAGTACCTGATTATACACACCAGAAGGACCACAGGATTAGATTTCCACATCAATTATATGAAAAAAAAATCAGTTTGTAATTCATAGATTTTTCAATGATAATTACGAGGTTAATTCAATCGTTAAGAAATCATTTAAAGAAGGAAGTCTATAAGGTAATTATATAGGAAGCTTTGATTATAGATACACCGCTGTTATAGTCGATTAATGACAGTTCATATATAATTGATGATTTATGTACATGCAAACATTATAGTATTCACCTTACCTATAACAAAAATTAATTCTTTGATAATAAATATAACTTTTGTCTATAATTGATTTTCTCGATAGTAGATTAATTAGCCTCAGTTAATAAGGAGAAAAAAATATGATAATTGGTGTTAAGTAAAAAAAAAAACTGCTTGTTTAATCTCCTACACACCTTGATTACTTGATTATATTTTGTGTGTGTTTGTATATATTTGTTTGTGTGTGTGTGTTGAAAATTATCTCCGTGTGTTCTTTTTGGTTGTTTTAGAGTTATAAGGCTGAATTGATTATATATTTACCATGTTAAAGAGAAATAGAGAGAGAAGTTGACGGTAGAGTTGGGAAATGCAGCCATTATATCTCTCTCTCTATCTCTATCTCTCTCTATCTCTCTCTCTATATATATATCTTCTCTCAGAATATAAATCTATATATATATATTTTTTTTTTGTATATACTTGTAATTAGTACAAAAACAAAAAACCTAAATATATACTTGTTCATAGTAAGCGCTCCCCTCCCCACAAAAAAATAAACATGCAAATAAATGATACCTTTCACTCACACGGTCAATATTACCTCTAAATTATTCACAGTATTTCACTAATTTTCGTTCACCCTCCGAGCTTAAACCCGCTGTACCCAAATGACTATAAAATAAATACCAATTGACGATATATTCTGGACAGCTTGAAGGTTTAGATTCACATTAGCTACTATGGTATTTATAACTTCTCTATAACAAACATCAAATTATGTCATTTTCCTTATTGATTCTTTAAAAGGAGTTTTGCTAAGTTTATTTCTAAAGAGGGAGGGAGGAGGGGGTTCGTTATATGAGTGATCGGATTCGTTATATACGGGTACGGTTTAATGCCGGCACTAAGGTATTAAACAAATTCGTGATAACAAGAGGAGATTCTCATGTAACTCTTTGTTTATCGCATTATTACCTTTTGTTTCTTTCCTTCCTTCCTTTCTTCTCTCCTTCCTTCATTGTTACATGCCTTCTATCTGTCATTTCTACTGCCTTCACCACTACTAATTTACTTTCATTATAATCATTATTCTCTCATTACCAACTAAAAAAAAAACAGTCCAGATGGTAACGCCAAAAATTCCACCCTCCCCTCCTTTCCCTTTCCTCTCTCCCTCCCTCCATTCCCCCCCTATCCCTCCTCCCCGGGCGTCAAATTCGATCTATCCGCGTCTCTCCTTCTTCCCCCATTTATCGATCCCTTTTGCCTGTCTTTGTTCGCGACAATCCCTGGTATCCAATTGCTGCCTCCATTACGGGGAGTCTGGCGTTTGATGGTGACTGAGGGGGAATGATTAACTATCTAGCTATTCTATCTATCTATTTGACTAACTATCTGCCCATCTATGAAAATATGTATATATCTATTTATCTAACTTGTCTATCTATCTATCTATCTATCTATCTATCTATCTGTTTAACTATACTTACAGATAGATATATAGATAATAAGGTTAAATAATTCTTGGCAGTTAAATCAATTAAGCGCTTCTATGAACAGTATACCAAATCAAAATACTATACATATCATTTCTTATCTTTCCCCAAAATTTGCATAAAAAAAATGGTAAAAACCCCCACCAAATTATACTTGAAAACACAACCTATAAAAAAAATTGGAAAAAAAACCCACTTCAAAATAAAATTGTATATAATTTCTAAAAAAAAAAAAAAAATCAGATTTATATATTAAGAAGATGAGTTTAGTATCATTTGCATATCACACACTCGTAATTGTTAAGGTTCACCACCAATTGGCTGAAGTTTGGTATAATAGATGCTGGGAATTCGTGCAACAGTGCAAGGAACTCCGTGCAATCATCCTGTGCAATGTTACCTAACTAAGTCAGGCTTTTCTTAAGATGGAAGCTAAATTCAACTCTTAATCTTAGAAATAAAAAAAAACTTTATTTTCCTACAAAGTATACGTAGGAAAATTCAATATGTTTTTTCCCTTGTCATGTTTGTTAAGGGAAAATTAAAATATAACATGTAAACATCTCGAAGCATTCACTAGAGGCTGAGAGAAACAAAACACATACAGTCTCCTGTTAGCTCGTGAGATGTGTGTGTGTATGTAGCTAAAGTGTATGCAATTGATAACTAAACTCAATTGAAAATGAAAAGAAATTAGGATGATATTGAGAGATTAGAGAGAGAGAGAGAGAGGGGGGGGGGGCGAGTGTGTTTGGCTGTGTTCCCCATATTGTGTTGACTAATCCAAGGTGTTTGTGTGTTTGTGTGTTTGTGTTTCCTTCTTATAAGATGTTCAGGCTGTGTGTAATATTAAATTATTTCTTAAGGTTAATAACTAAATACTAAAGACCTTAACCCGTGTATTGTTTGTGCCATAGATGTGTAAGAGTCATGAGGCTATTATGTAGTTTTTAAGGTGGTTAATGTGTGTTGGTGAGACAGAGAGACGTGTTGGTGAGACAGAGAGACGTGTTGGTGAGACAGAGAGACGTGATCTTTTCTCTCTGGGTCATTGGGATGATATCAGGTTAATCTACTTGATCACTTGTAGAGATCCATCATGACACGTAGGCTGATCAGCTGTTCTGTGACGTCATATGGAGGCTAAATCAGCTATTCTCTGTGACATCATACGAAGGCTGATCGGCTGTTCTTTGTGACGTCACCATAATTTGATCATACGAAATGAGTTGATCATCCATTCATCTATGACGTCACTAACACTTTTGTGTGTGTGTGTGTGTGTGTGTGTGTGTGTGTGTATTTCCTTCTCATTTTAGTTCTTAAGTCAAATAATGAAGACATATCAACGGTGAAGTTACCAGTGTGTAATATTTAACTGTCATAATATCTATCCCGATCTTCCATAATCTCAAATATTTTAAGATCTTTGAATACTTGATGTGTGTATGTAAGATCCTTCAACATCCCGGATCTTTGTATGTTAAAAGTCTTTATTTACCTTTAATCTTCCAACTTCTGCAGTAAAATATTTTATCTATACTGTTTCCGTAAGTCTGAGTATTTTTATAATAATGGATATTCTTTCAGTATTTGTTAAACAGGGATAGATGGGCATTAGTCTTCTTCTTCTTCTTCTGGTTCTTTGAGTATTTTGTAGTTCGAATTTTCGGATTTCTCAGTTCCGGATCCTTGAGTATTTTTCCCAGATCTTTAAGTATTTGTAGAATCGGATAGTTGGGTGTTTGAGTTCCAGATCTCTTAGTATACTGTAGTGAGGGATATTCGGATATTCGTTAATATTTGAGTATTTCGTAGAGATGAAGATTCAAACGGATCTTCATAAGTCTTGCTTCGTGCTTTATATGTGTGTTCTTTTCGTGGTTTAAGAGAAGGGAAGACATCTTGACGTACAGTAAATAGTATTCTTTCGTCATTGGATAAATTAGAATAAAAACAAGTAAACAAATTTTATCGGTTTGCCAAATGTTTCAATCAAACTGTCAAATAATTTCGCTTTCCATCAACTGGTCAATTAGATTATAAATTTGCGGCAAGAGAAAGAATTTATATAAAAAAAAGTCGATATATATAGATTCCGCTTTGGTTTGCTCATCGAATTAATTTTTGGCATTTGGGGTAAAAAATATCACTGGTAATTCTGCCATTTTTTGAACAAGGGTCCCTGATAATTTTGCGATTATTCGATTACTCGTGGGAATTATTGACGGTACGTCCATAAACTCGTCAAAATGTCTCCTTATACCATTGTCAGCACCGAAGAAACTAACACCTCAGAGCAACGCCAGCACGAGCAACACACACACACACACACACCGCCTGGCGTTTATTCTAGTTACTAACAATTACAGAAGTAGCATATAAGCCAGACGATCGTTCGCCTAACCTTCTGCTTCCATGGACGTTAATTTTCCAATGATGCAAAGTTAGGAGAGTCCGTGTCGTGTCGTGTCGTGTCGTGTCGTGTCGTGTTGTGTCTATCGTCCCTTCTGTGCTGTCAATCTTAATACTCCTCGTCTTTCAATTACCATACTGAAAAACAAAAACTAAAGCAAATATAGTATGATTGAATGAACGTATTGTATTAACTGTGTTGTATATAAATATGGTTTAAGTGTGTGTATGTATGTGTGTGTGTGTGTGTGTGTGTGCGCGCGTGTGTGTGTGTGTATGTATGTGCGTGTGTGCGTATGTGTGTGTGTGTGTCTGTACCACTCTGTATAACCCGTGTTTTTAGTCTGTATATATATATAGTATCGTATTGAGTCATGTATACGATTCATATAGTTGCGTAAATAACTACTGCGTCGTTTATTATTAAGTGTGTATCTTTACCGAGCTGTGTATGTCATTACCACTACACGGCCAACAAGAGACAACAAGGATGAGAGAGAATCTAGTCACATTATTTAGTACGGCGGACATCAATACCGAGAGAGACTGAGAGACAACGAGACTTCCCTTTTAAATGTCTCTGAGAATATATCATTGAAGAGATATAACAAAAACATCATCATCTCTCCTTTTCGATTCTGTCTCTCACAACGAGGGAGTCTCCACAAGCTCAATGTCTCTCTGACTCGTGTAATGATCTCACGTCCGCCCTTAGTCGTGTTAGGTCATAAGTTCCCCGGCAGCAGAGGATGCAGGAGTGATGAGTCCTTCTCTCCGGTCAACGAGATGCGAACCACCTCTCTGTGTGCCTCCTGCTGGGTAGTATAGTAGTAGTAGTAGTAGTCTTAAGTCAATACTATTCTTATTATTTGTGTAGTGATTTTTTTTGTATTCTATTTGCCAAGATTGATGTAATTTGATCAAGTGTTTAGGCATCTATTGGTTATTCCATGTCTTGAGGTAAGTTTCACATTCGACACGTTTCAATGATGTCAAATTGTTTCGATTTTAAGCCTCACTTGCATCAAGCTTCGTCTGGTCAAAGTTTTAAGTCTATAAGTCGAGTTTTATCTAGTCAAGAGTTTCATTAGTGGTTTAAGTTTTAGTGAACCGAGTTTCATCTAGTCATGTTTCAGTGCCTTTCTATTTTGTTAAGCTTTTATTTGCAGTAAGTTTAGTTAAGTTCTAGTGCGTACCTTTTTAAGTTCTAATGAGTTTCTAGTCAAGTTTTACTGCAGTCATTAAGTTCTAGTGCGGATCTGGTTCCAATGAGTTGCTAGTCAAGCTCTACAGTCATTAAGTTCTAGTGTATAATCTAGTTAAGTTCTAATGCGTTTCTAGTTAAGTTCTACAGTCAATAAGTTCTAGTGTGGATCTAGTCAAGTTCCAGTGAGTTTCTCTAGTCAAGCTCCACGGTCATCTATAGTTAAGTTCCAATGCGCTTCTAGTCAATGTGTACACGTTTTTCTAGAGTCAATAAATGAGTACATATTCTAACATTAATATTTCCCGCTTAATTTTACATGTGTAAATTTGAGCCATTTGTAATAGTCATTTTCTGTCGTGTTTTCATACATTCTTGTGTCATTTTTAGTCGTTTTAGTAATGATGTTTATTACGTTTTTTTTTACGAGTTTTTACGACAACAGGGAGACGAGTTCTGCCCCAGTGAGTAATTTAGTCAGTTTTATTTGTATCTATACCAGTGAGGTTTTTTTTTCTTCGTCGTTTTGTACAAATGTTTCTTTGTCGTGTCATTATAAGTTATTAAAATGACATCACAAGACCACCCACCATGTATCCAATTAGTTTTCCATAAGACATTAGTTATTTTAAGTCGTGTGTAAGTTCCTGGTCATTTAGTTTATGTGTGTGTGTGTGTGTGTGTAGTTTGTATTGAGGTGTTAATCACTCAAGGACGAGATAATTCTAGTCAAGTGTTAGGTTAATCTCATGAACGAGTAGGTGTTCTGATGATGATGGTGATGATGATGATGATGATGGTGATGATAATGATGGTGATGATAATGATGGTGATATTGATGATTATATTGATTTATTATTATTACTATTATTATTATTTTATTGGTGTTTATCAATTCTTCTAGAGAGACTTCAATTCTCTAGTTTGCTATTTCTAGTAATTTAACATCTAGATAAAATAGAAAAATTAACCAATCTCTTATAAACTAGCAAAAAACAACCGATCATTACACATCTAGTAATTCTAGTTAAAACAGACAGAGCAGAAGGCCTAT